CAAATCTTAAGTTTAACTGTCATACAGAAACACCCCAAAGCATCTCACTTCAACATTTTTTAAAGGCACAATTCAGAGTCCTTCAGCCTTTACTTCTCCTTGCCTAGTCTCTTCCGAAGCTTATAAAGACTTTTAGGGGCTGCCGCCCCTTTCTCTGATAGAGAGTCCTCCCCGGAGGATTCCGAGTCCAGCTCACCATTGGACTTACTATCCTCCCCTTTCCCCCCTTCCTTCCCTGGCCCTCTCATCTGAACTCTTAAACATTCCCGTGCTTTCTGGACAGAGTCAGTCTTTTCTTTTTTATCCTTGATTTTGAAGGTGACACCTTCTGGAGTTAACCATCTATATCCAATTGCATTTGTCTGTAGAAAAAGAATTAATTCTTTATATTTCTTTCTCCTTTGTCTTATTTCAAATGGAATGTCTTTTAACGTTCAGAAACTGCTCCACTTGCACCTGCTGAATGGCCTTGGGCAAGCCATAGTTCTGGCACAGCTGTTCTTGAGAAACTGCTCTTTTTCAAGAACAGCTGTGCCAGACCTATGGCTTGCCCAAGGCCATCCAGCAGGTGCAAGTGGAGGAGTGGGGAATCAAACCCGGTTCTCCCAGATTAGAGTCCGCACACTTAACCACTACACCAAACTGGCTCTCAGATGCAACAGGGCCAGGAAAATACAGTCGGCTGCTTAGCACTACCACTAATGTAAAAATACCGGGTGCAAAGGCGAGCTATAAATGTGAAGGAAGGAAAAACCCCACAATATAATCTGACTCCGTGGTAGCTAACATGATGTTTGCAATTAAAATTGGGGAGTAGTAAGGCAGTATGGGGTTGCTTGGCAGGTCAGTCTCAAAGCAGACGATGCGCCGAAGTGGATCCCACTTAGGATTCACAACGCCAGGGTGGGAAATTTCTGGAGATTTGGGGGTGGAGCCTGGGGAAAGCAGAGTTTAGGGAGCGGGGGGGTGCTCAGCAAGGATGTCATGCCACAGAATCCACCTTCTAAAGCAGCCGTTTACCCCAGGGGACCTGATATATGTCCCCTGGAGATCGGTTGCAATTCCAGGAGGTCTCCAGGTCCCACCAGGAAGATGGCAACTGCAGGCCCACTGCAGATAAGTTTCGGAACCACGGCCTTGAAATGATTTCATCCAGCACGAATGTGGGTAGAGGATGGACAGCAAGGACCACTTAGCTCTTGGCAGCAGAGCTTGAGGGGTGGTAGTGGCTTCTCGGATAAAACTGGTGAGCCGTAAGTTCCAGGACTGCAGGGTTACTAGAGTTCTCGAGACTGTTTCATGCAGGGCCTTCAGTCCCCTTCAGCTTGGGTCTGACTGGAAGGCTTCTGGATCTGGAAATCACTCTTGTCGCTTTGTCCCTTTGCAGAATTATCCAGCAGCTGGTCAATGGGATTATTGCTCCCACCACGATACCAAACCTCGGCGTGGGCCCTTGGTGAGTTGGGGCTGTGCGTGGCTCTTTCTGAAGGCTTGCCTGTCCCAGTGGAGACTTAACCCTTCCTCCCCTCCCTGTTGTCTTTATCCTTAAAGGGGAGTCTTGCATTCAAATCCCATGGACTATGCCTGGGGGGCCAACGGCTTGGACGCCATTATTACTCAGGTAAAACTCAGCTGCCACTCGAGGGCTTCCGCTTGGGGGATGGGAGGGAAGGAAAAGCCGCCAGAGTTGTGTGTGAATAAGCATCCGGCCTCCAGTCCTGGATCCTGCACAACTTGAGTCGAACCAGGCCTCTTCTTTGCAAAACGAGAAGGAAATGCTTGTAGACCTGGCTTAGGATGTCTTTAGCTCTAGTTAAACATAGTGTCCTTCCCTCTAAAGTCTGGGGCAGGTCTCTCAGCTCAAAGGGGCACGATTTCTGCCCCCACAGATACCAGCCAGTCGTGTTCTGACAACAGCCCCCTCAGATCCACAGTTTCTGCACAGTTTCTTTGGAACTGCCTATTTTCTTCAAGCCCTGCACTCAGCAAAGCTGAACTGTGCAATCAAAGTAAGACCTGGTGATTCAGCGACAGCCCTGCTTTGCCTGATTTCTGGGCTGATGGGGTCGCTTTGGCCTCCCACTGTTAGCCTAGGTCAGTGGTGGCAAACCTATAGCACGGGTGCCAGAGGTGGCACTCAGAGCCCTCTCTGTGGGCACGTGTGCCATCGCCCCAGCCAGGCCCAGACCGTCATTAAAGTGTTGAATTCTCTGCCAAATAATTTTAAGTAAATGAAAGCATTTGGGATTGCTTTCCTTACTTTGTTTGGATCACCTTAAGTTAATGTAGGAGTTGTTTTTTCTAAAGTAAAATCTCAGTATTCAGGTTAAACTGCCGTGTTGGCCCTTTGCGATAAAGAAGTGGGTTTTGGGTCGCAGTTTGGGCACTCGGTCTCTAAAAGGTTCTCCATCCCTGGCCTAGGTGGTGGAGCTCCAGGTGCTTCTAGGGTTAAGATGGTTTTGCAAATCTTTTCTGAGCCAACTTCAGGACAGAGTTTGAAGCTGAGACCACTTTGGTCCCTCTGATGGTTGATTGACGGGGGGGGGGGAGAATTAATTGGACCCTGTTGATTCTCTGGGAGTCTCTTGTCAGCTTTCAGCGCAATCAATTGTGTAATATTTTCTAGAATGACTGCAGGAGGTGGCTTGGGAATGCAGTGTTGGTGAAGGTTACGCTCTGTAGTTGCTTGCAAAGTCCACAGGGTGGTGCTGTGGCTTGGAGCTGTGTCTCCCGGGCAGTCCGTACTCTCCCCCCTCCCATGACCCCAGGTCACCTGGAGTCTGGGAGTGGACTCTCATCAATATGTTGATGACATCCAACTCTGCTTCTGCTGCTCTTCTGAACTGGATTCAGGGGGGTCCCTGTGTTCATCTGAAGAAGCAGAACAAAGTTGGAGTCCAGTAGCACTTTCAGGACCAATGAAGTTTCATTCTGGGTATAAGCTTTTCAGCATGAAAGCTTACACCCAGAATTAAACTTCGTTGGTCTTAAAAGCACCCCCAGACTCAAACTTTGTTTCTGAAGCAGGTGTAGCACTTATGTCCACGAAACGAGGGTTGGTCGTGGTCTGGTTCAGGAAGATTAAATTGGACTGACTAGATTCTTATAGATATCTCCTTGCTTTCTCGGTAGTGCTGCCCAAACTGTGGGTAGGGCTGCCTTCCGAAACTTGCCAAATCTTGGTTCTTATGGGTTGATCTCTTTAAGCAGACCTCCCCTCCCCTTTTTGTTGTATCTAACTTGACTGTTAACTTCTTTTAGCCATTGCAGTTTTGTTTCTGATCTCCCCCCCAAAAAAAACCCTAGTTTCTATTGCTGTTGCATTGTTAAGCTTTTCTTATTAAGTCTTGAACTGAAAGGCGGGTAATACGTTTGCCAAGGAAGTGCTCTGGTAGCCCTGAGCAGTGTCAATACCATCGTATACGGAGCACAGCCTTGGGAGTGTCGGAGAAGTGGAGGGTACCAGCCCCTCCTGCTGTGTTGGGCTGGTGGTCTCTGTGCAGCCAGGCCTTGCCAGTTTCACACAATGGCCAACGAGTTCCTCTGGAGGACCAACAACAGGGCATAGAGGCTGAGGCCTTCATAAGAACATCAGAAGAGCCCTGTTGGATCAGTCCAGTGGTCCATCTAGCCCAGCGTCCTGTCTCACACAGTGGCCAGCCAGTTCCTCTGGAGGGCCGACAACAGGGCATAGAGGCCGAGGCCTTCCTCGATGTTGCTCCCTGGCTCTGGGATTCAAAGGATTAGTGTGTCTGAATGTGGAGGCTCCCCTCAGCCACTTTGGCTAGTAGCCCTTGATGGACTCATCCCCCGTGAATCTTATCCAATCTAATGCTCTGCCACCTCTGCCCACACATCAAGGATTTCCCTAGGAAAGGCCAGTGGAGTTCCTGATTCCCACACTGGGCTTGGGTGAAGGAGTCCGTTGCCACAAGGTTCACGGATCGTTCCCCACCAGGCCCTGGGAAAATGGACCCCTGGTTGTGGGACCCATCTGGGCTGGCAAGCTGCAGGATCTCCCACCCCCCCACGTGCACACCCACACACTCTTCTTCCACAAGCACCATCTGTGCTAACGTGAGAGGGAGGGGAATGATTTGCTCCCCTTCACCTTTCTCATGACCACACTTTCCACCAGTGTTCCCTCTAAGCTGAGTTAGTGTGAGCTAGCTCACAGTTTTTTGGCCTCAAGCTCACACATTTTTGTCTTAGCTCAGGAAGGATGGCTCCAGAGCAAACTGATTTATGTGGTAGCCAAATCGCTCGCTCAGAGCTTTAATGCTAGTAGCTCACAAAGTAGAATTTTTGCTCAGACTCCACAGTTTAGAGGGAACATTGCTTTCCACTGACCAATTACTGAATCCAGTCCATAGAATAAGAACGTCTTACGAAATACAGAGTAGAAACCCTTGCGATGCAGAACTGCTCCTTCTGGTTTTAAAGGCCCAATTTCTTCCTCGTTTGTGTATCTAATTCTGCGAGTTCCAAATTGAGATGTCAGTTACTAGAGTGTTCCTGTTTTAATCTGGAGCTGCGGTGGCTCAAGTGGTTAAGACGCTGAACTGCAGGCTGCGGAAGGTCGGCAGTTCGAGCCCCGAGTGTGCCGCATGACGGAGTGAGCTCCCGTCTCTAGTTCCAGCTCCTGCCAACCTAGCAGTTCGAAAGCAAGAAATTGCAAGTAGATAAATAGGTACCGCTTCGGTGGGAAGGTAACAGCGTTCCGTGCGCATTGGTGTTTAGTCATGCCAGCCACATGACCACGGAAACGTCTTCGGACAGCGCTGGCTCTTCGGCTTTGAAACGGTGATGAGCACCGCAACCCTAGAGTTGGATTCGCCTGGCTTTCGAGCAAGGGAACCTTTACCTTTACCTTAAGTCTCAGGAGTAGACTGCCTGGGGCTGCCGGCTGCCCTTTGCAGTCAGTGAGGGCCTGGAACGCCCCCTGTCTGCTTGCCACACCGCCCACCCTCCTCTCTAGTACTTGGCCTGGGATGTAGCCAAACCATCCTGCTGATACCGGCTTCTCTTTTCAGCTGCTGAATCAGTTTGAAAACACGGGGCCTCCCCCCGCAGACAAAGAGAAGATCCAGGCCCTCCCAACAATTCATATAACAGAAGAACACGTAGGTAAGGCTCTTGCTAATGTCGATTCTCTCCGTCTCTAAAACGTTATTTTATCTCCTCCGCCCATCCGTGTAGTCCTTGGCTGGCTTCTCTAAACCACTAATTCCAGTCTTCGTACCAGGGTATGTTTATGTGCTGATGGTGCCTTGTGAGAATTTAATTAATCAATCAAAGGCTTCTGTGAGCCTAGCATCCCCATTCGGAAGGGGAGGGGGCTGCCTGCTGCATCTCTGCTACTCCCCATGTCTCCACTTTTAACACAGCACGCCTCTCGAGACCTTAGTGATTACAGAGAGTAGGTTGGTTCAGTACCTTATTGTATGAATTTGAAAGGTTGAGCGACCCTTAGAAAATGAGATTTAATATGTTCTTAGTCTTGTCAGTTATTGGTCAATAGAAATGTTTTTCTGCACTGGGAGTTGAATAACAGTTTATCACTGGCATGATTTCCCTCCTGTTCTTATGCACTTTTATGTAATGTTTGGTATGTATGTTTAACATTTAATTAAAAACTTAAAAAAAAAAAAGTGTGCCAAGCCCTGGGGGGGTTTTAGTTCTGAAAGCTTTCACAGTTTCCTGACTTGGATCCATGGGTCTGTTCTGCTAAGAGCGAAGTTTCCTCTTGCCCCAGGAAACGCCAGTGCTTGGGATGGGGCAGGTGTTGACCCTGATTCTCAGCTGTGTCTTCTCAAACGGCAGGTTCTGGGCTGGAGTGTCCCGTCTGCAAAGAGGATTACGAAGCTGGCGAGAGCGTGCGGCAGTTGCCCTGCAACCACTTATTCCACGATGGTTGTATAGTCCCCTGGCTTGAACAGGTTAGTAACCCAAGGGCAAAAAACCCAGAGGTTTTAATAATGTGAAGGGATAATCGGCATCTCTGCCCACCAATGTTCCCTCTAAGCTGTGGAGTCTTGTGAGCAAAAATTCTACTTTGTGTGCTACTAGCATTAAAGTTGTGAGCGAGCTGTTTGGCTACTGCATACATTAGTTTGCTTTGGAGCCATCCTTCCTGAGCTAAGACCAAAATGTGTGATTAGAGCCTAAAAAACTGTGAGCCAGCTCACACTAACTCAGCTTAGAGGGAACACTGCTGCCCACATCCCTAATTTTGTCCCTAGTCCACTGGGTCCTCTGGGCTGGAGGCAGACCCTGAAGGCGGTCCCATCTGCCCTCCACAGACCCGGCTATATCTCATCCAAGTGTGATTTTTTTTTGGGGGGGGGGAATCCCAAGTCTTTTGAAGTTGGGCAAGAGAGATTGTGCAACCGTGTGCAGTATATCCAGATTTTTTGCAAGCAATCTTACATCGCTTCACCCGCGTTAATATTAAATGGTACTAAATGACAAGAGATCAATAGTTCTGCACTAGTCTGACCTCCTCTGCAGTATTGTGTCCTATTCCGGATGCTGCACTCTGAAAAGGGGGAGGGGGGAGAGTGAACAAATTGGATTGTGTTTGTCAGAGAGTAATGAAGATCGTCGAGGGACTAGAAAACCAGTTTTAGGAGGACGGTTTGAAGGAACTGGGTGTTAGAGGGAAGAGGATAAATGTAATTCGTCTTCCAGTAACTGATGGCCTGCCACTTGGAAAAGGGCAAAGTCTTTTTTCCTGCCACTTCCATAGTGTCCCAGCCGTGCCCAGTTAAGTGTGGGTACGCTGTTAGCCCCTGACACGCCACCAGTTATTTTAGGCGCCAGACTGCCCACAAAGGGGTCCTCTTTGCTGTGTGCCACAAAATGCCATCCCACAGTCTACAGGCCGCTGTCCGCAAATGGTGTGTCATCCCACCAAAAAAGACACCGCTGTTGGCTGTCCCTGCTCTTCACTAAGTACACCAGTTCCTTCTCCTTGTCCTTAACTGGGGTCTCCCAAAGATGAAGAACTTGCGATTTAGCCTCAAAGGTACGCCAGTTGCTTGCGACCAGCTCTGCACTGAAACAAAAAAATAACTATTAATAATGTCTCATCGAGTAGTTTCAGTTAACTTGGCTCCCCCGGTGGCAGCTGTGTTCTCTGCTTAATGAAGTTGTTGGAAGGCGGGATACAAATTAAATCAATCAACATTTCTGTTGCATCTTACCCTGCCCTTCCTCTGGGATGCTTGGGGCAGTTAGAACTTTTAATGACATCTTATTAGTTTGGTGATGCCAGGGGCAAATTTTGCTTAATATTTGCAGACAGATCCTGGTACGGTAAAAACTTTTCAAATGTATTTGCCTTTAAAAATTGTTCGGGCAAGATTTTCAATTTTGGCTTTTATTTTGACATAAGGCTGCAGGACACAAGTCAAGTTAAGTTGTGTTCAGTAGTTTTATTACTTAATAGATTGGAGAGAACAGCTGGTAGCTGATAAACTGAGTTTGTAATATTTTTATGCTGCTTTTTGGCACTCCTCCTGTGAATCTTCTGAAGTTGCCTGTACAAATTACATTTCATTTCAAAATAGACATAGATGCAAGTAACATCTTGCTGTTAAGAGAAGCCCCCGTTCCAGTTCCGAAGACAAGCCTTTATTTCTAATTTCTTCTCCTGTGACTGCCCATTTTGATTTTGTTCTCCGTTTGCTTGTTTCTCCCCCCCCACCCCCAAAAGCACGACACCTGCCCGGTGTGCCGGAAAAGCTTGAGCGGACAGAACACAGCTACAAACCCCCCGGGACTCTCGGCAATGAGTTTTGCTTCTTCCTCCTCCTCCTCCTCTTCCTCCAGCTCACCGAGTAACGAGAATTCTGCAAACAACTCATGAGTCTTTTAAAGAAAAACGAAAATAAGTTGCCATCCTCATTCCCTTCTCTAATGTCGCTGCCCTCCCTCACTTTCACCTAGGGCGATGCGGGGGAGGTCCCCCAGAGCAGAGCAGCAGGGGTGGGGAGAATGGGAGCCCCAGTATTTTTCCATCGTGATGCGAAGGGCCTCTTGCCCCCAGGATGCTTAGTGATGTCACCATCTCGAGAGTGGGGCAGGGGAGGGGAAATGCCCGTCCCAAAGGAGGACGGGGCCTGAAACGGGGCCAACCACTCTGCACCGAAGCCACAGCAAATTGGCCCGTGGAAAGCACTGGGAGAGGGGCCGCAGTTCCAAACAGAAGGTGGTTCACAAGGGTGGGATTGGTTTTTTAAGAAGTCTTGACCATTTCCTCCTGTCCTTTCTTCTGTCTACTCCATCCCAGTTCTTTATGCTTTGGTGTTTCTAAGCCTTGAAAAAACGGCAGTGTCACCCACCCAGCCTCCCCCCCCCCGGCAGGTTTCAGGCAGGGAAGGGGCTTCCAAAGCTTTTATCGTGTCACCACTGGAAAGAGACCTGGCCTCGAAGGAATCTGCCCCCCTTCCCGGCCACCTTCTGGCCCCGTTGAGCTTAGACCTCTCTTCTCTCCCCCCCACCCCTTTTCGTTTAACATCGCCCTTCGGGTAATTCGATACTGAGAAAAGGGTTTTTTTATAATTTTAAATTATTACTGCTATTAAAGAAATGGACGTTTCAGCTCAGTGCATGTGACGTGTTGGGTTTATGCCAGCGACACAAAGCGAGTTCCTTGGATGGTGGATTGCCACTCAACCTTTCTTTTATTCGAGCCAAAGTTGCACCATTGGGGTGGCCGGGCTTCCGCGTGTAGCATCTTGCGTAACAAAGTTTGAGTCTCCTCCTGGTCTGTTTCTGCGGTACTTAATGCAGTGCGCAAAGATCAAAACAGAGGTTTTGTTTTATAAAATCTGTTTACTGGCGGGATGCCCACTGGTGGTTCAGAATGTTTGAAACCACGGCTCAGTCTGAAATGTTCAAACATGCAAATAGGGCTGAGGGTGGGGAGAGAGGATTGATCTAAGCCAGACTTAATGCTGCATCGGAGAGCTTTTTCCTTACTGCTGCTCTTCCAGGGAAGGAGTACCGGGGGGGAGGGCTGTCTTGTGAGCGGCCGCAAGTCCCCCTCCATGCATGTTCCTTTGGGGCTTTCTGATGGTCTCTCGCCTTCAGGTGTCAGCGGAAGCCGTTCAGGAGGGAAACTGCACTGGCGCACCCAAAGCCAGCTGCAGGGGCTCCTGAAAACCGATGGAAGCGCTAGGTGCTGTGCAATTCAGCAACGTGAGCCACAGGCCCCGCTCTCTGGCTTAACGGTCGCAGGGAATGCGAATTGAAGAAAAGGGCAGAGGCTGCTGTGGGTCACTCTTGGATAAGTGTTTAAATATCTGCTAATGGGAGGAGCTGAGTCTCCGTGGCTGTGGGGGGAGGGGTAAGGGGTGCCACCTACCTGGGCACAGAGGATGTCGATTTACAGAGAATAACAGAAGAGCAGGAATTGGGGGGAGATGAACTGATGGGTTCCTCTAGGATCAGGCTAATTTCTCCTCTCCTCTGTCCTCTGCTCCCCCCCTTGAGCTGTCAGTTCCTGGAATATGTTCAGCCTTCATCAGGTAGGGGGGGCTGCTTCTTTTGGTAAACCTTCAAACTCCTATTTTCCTGCACGCCCACAAATTCCCTGGAGCGGCCAGCCAGTGGATGACTAGACGAGCAGCGCTCTTTCTTCGAAGTGTGCCTGTTGCTGTGCTGAGATGTGCAGGTGGTGCCAGAGGCCTCCTCCCCTTAGCAACATCACAGAACGGCCACAGCCCACCGGTGCCTGATGTGTGGCAGGCTCGGTTGCAAAGCAGGCGAGTAGAGAGGGACAATGGCTCAGAGGCAGAGCAGCTCCTTGGCCTGTGCAGAAGGTCAGAGAATAACAGAAGAGCAGGAATTGGGGGAAGATGAACTGATGGGTTCCTCTAGGATCCTTGTAGCTGTTAGGGGCTTGATCAGGCTAATTTCTCCTCTCCTCTGTTCCTCTGCTCCCCCCCTTGAGCTGTCAGCTCCTGGAATATGTTCAGCCTTCATCAGGTGGGGGGGGGGGCTGCTTCTTTTGGTAAACCTTCAAACTCCTATTTTCCTGCACGCCCACAAATTCCCTGGAGCGTCCAGCCAGTGGATCACTAGACGAGCAGTGCTCTTTCTTCGAAGTGTGCCTGTTGCTGTGCTGAGATGTGCAGGTGGTGCCAGAGGCCTCCTCCCCTTAGCGACATCACAGAACGGCCACAGCCCACCGGCCGGGCCTCTTGGTGCCTGATGTGTGGCAGGCTCAGTTGCAGAGCAGGCGAGTAGAGAGGGACGATGGCTCAGAGGCCGAGCAGCTCCTTGGCCTGTGCAGAAGGTCCCCGGTTCAGTCCCTGGCGGCATCTCCAGTTAAAAGGATCAGCTAGCAGGCGATGGGAAAGACCTCCGCCAAAGGCCCTGGAGAGCCACCACTAGTTTGAGGAGATGATACCGACCTTGATGGACCGGGGTGGGTGGGTGTCAGTCTGATTCAGGAGAAGGCTGCTTTATGTGGTCAGTGTGTTAGATAGAATGGGGGGGGGGGTGAGATGACTCGGAGAATGCCAGGATGCAGGCAGCCACCGTGCCACCCCCAGCTTCCCCTCCAGGAGCTTGTGGGTCGACTTGCTTTGCAGGGCTGCATCGGCCACGTAGCCAAGAGCAGAAGGCGTGGTCTGCACAAGGCCGCCACTTCACTATAACCGTATTTGTGGCCACAAGACACGGCAGAGCGTCACGAGCTCAGGCAGCTGAAGCCACAGTGGAGATTCAGAGGAAAGGCGTCAGGATGGCTTAATGAAATGTCCGTGTTCAGCAGCTGTCTGTCTCCAGATAACTGATGAATCGGGGGGGGGGAGGCTTCAGGGTACTCAGTGTGATTAGAGGAGGGCTAGCGTAAGGCGGGGGACACGGGTTCAAACCCCCATTCCACCATGGGTGTCCTTGGGCCAGTCCTCCTCTTGTAGCCTTCCCCGTGAGTGAAATGGTTGAGGCTGTGTGGGAGGGAGGAGGCTCCAGTGGATACCCCCATGAACTCCTCGGAGGAAGGCTGGGATAGAAATGAGAGAAGCAGACAGCTTGGCCCTCCTTTGAGGAGGCCACGCTGGGACCTTGGAGCCTGATCCAGCCGTCTTGTGGCCACCGACTGCTCTCCTCCCCCTCCCCACCCTGAATGGCTTCCCAAGCCATGGGAAGCAATGACTCATCTGCAGAAACTGGGCTAATGCGTTAAACGGTTTGTAACGCAATCGGGAGGCACGGAATTCTCTGGAATGCTCCTGCTGACAGTCCGGCAGCAAAAGCCTGTTCCTGTGGTGTCTTGAGCAATTTGGCGCAAGGTTCTTCCAGTTCCCGTAGCATTTTTCCAGGGGCAGGTTGCAGGTGCTGAGGGAACTGGGACGTTGGTGTTGCTTAAGCAGCCCAGCCCCTGGAACCTGAGTCCTCGCCGCTGGCTGGAGGCTCTTTAAAAGCTATTTCCTGACCCATTTCAACATCTCGGTTTTTTTATTAAACTGCTCTTGAGGCTGGGCTGAATGGAAGGTGCAGCCGGCCGGGTTCTTTTGCGGCAGCCTGGAGTGCTGCTTCTCAAAGGGAGCCAGAACAAAAAAAGTTGCATTCAGTGGGGAGTGTCTTCTGAAAACCCTGACGGCGCCCTAAAGGAAAGTAGGACTGTCAGGGGTGAGAGAGGAGCAGCTGAAGCACTTCAGACCTCCCCCCCCCCCCCCGCCCAGCTTCCTGTATCTTCCCGCTGTCGCTCTGCAGAAGCTGTGGGGCAGAGGGAAGCTCTTCCCACCTGGACCCAATGATGCCTTGGGGGGGGGGGCTGTTTAGAAGCAGCCTGTAGAACAGGAGTCCCCAACGTGGTGCCCTCGGGCACAATGGTGGGTGCAGACGCTTTTTCTGGGTCCCACCAAATGTTTTTACAAAGTGGGAGGGGCCAGGTGGGGCTCTGGCCCAGCCAGGTTTCTGATTGGCCGTGGGAGATTCCATTGGCTGTGCAGATTCTGAAAAGTGTTGCTTTGGCGGCAGCTGCCGCCACAGCACACAGATCTCCACTGTGTGACCAAAGGTCAGCTGCGGCAGCCGTTTGGTGTTCGTGCCCGCCATGCTGTGTCGGAATTGCAGATGCACCCCCCCAGGCTCAAAAAGCTTGGGGGGGGGGGTCTGCTCTGGAATGCTTCCCATTTCTTGAAGGTTTAACATTGTCGTGACTGTGTTTTACGAGACTGTTTAACAGAATAAAACGAGAGTCCAGTGGCACCCTAAAGACTTTGTGAGGGAGAGCACACTTCATCTGGTGCATGCAGTTCTGTTAAGCAGGAAGAATGTAAAACCTGGTGCAGGGTGGAATGAGAAGCAGATAAACTAAGTTGGTGCTTTCACTTCTACGCGGGATGGAAAATGTGCTAGATGTTAGCCCCTGTAGTGAGTTAAGAATCCCAAGTGCCTATTAAGCCTGGCACATAGTCTTAAATTTGTCAGTGAATTCTAATACCGCAATTAGACACTGGACTCTCCCTTTAAAGCCCCTTTGTAAGAGAACTGTAACTTTTAGATCATCAACAGAATGTTCTGGAAAAATTAAAATGTTTCCCCCACTGTTTTATGGAATATCGTGGTTTTTATGTCAGATATGTCTGTTCTTTTGTGTACTGATACTTTCTTTTTTATTGTATTTATTCACTTGTCCTTACAGATGTTAATTACTTCAGCCATACCCATTTAACTTCCTGCTCTATCTGCTTACCTCATTTCATCCTGCTCTAGGTCTGGCCTATCTAACCACAGTTAGATGCCCTGTATCAAGAGAAGTATAGTGTCCAGATCACGAGATGTGATGGTACCACTTTACTCTGCTCTGGTTAGACCTTACCTAGACCATTGTGTTCAGTTTTGGGCACCACAATTTAAGAAGGATCTAGACAAGCTGGAACGTGTCCAGAGGAGAGCAACGAAGAGGGTGAGGGATCTGGAGACCAAGTCCTACGAGAAAAGGCTGCAGGAGCTGGGTATGTTTCGCCTGGAGAGGAGACGACTGAGAGGTGATATGATAACCATCTTCAAGTACTTGAAGGGCTGTCATCTAGAGGATGGTGCGGTGTTGTTTTCAGTTGCCCCAGAAGGTCGGAACAGAACCAACAGGATGAAATTAAATCAGAAGAGTTTTCAGCTAAACATTAGGAAGAACTTCCTGACAGATTCCTCAGTGGAACAGGCTTCCTCAGGAGGTGGTGGGCTCTCCTCCTTTGGAGGTTTTTAAGCAGAGACTAGATCTGACAGCAATGCTGATTCTGTGAATTTAGGCAGATTATGGGAGGGAGGGCAGGACGGGTTGCCTCAGTGCTTAGTTCCTGTGGCCCTTTTTTACATGCCCAGGGAAATGCTGATTGTCACTTTGGGGTCAGGAATCAATCCTGGAAGATTTTTGTCATCTTCTGGGCATGGAACAGCGGTCACTACGGGTGTGGAGGGGGAGGTATTTGTGAATTCCCTGCATTGGACTAGATGACCCCGGAGGTCCCTTCCAGTTCTATGATTCTGTGACCCGGATGGTCAAGGCTGCCCTGACCTCGTCAGATCTTGGAAGCAGTACCTGGTTAATACTTGGAGGGGAGCCCACCAAGGAAGTCAAGGGTTGCTGCAAAGAGGACGGCAGTGACGAACCAGTTCTGTTTAATCTCTTGCCTTGACCTGGATGGCCCAGGCTAGACCAGTCTTTTCAGGTCTTGGAAGCTAAGCAGTCCTTGGTTAATACTTGGAGGGGAGACCACCAAGGAGGTCAAAGGTTGCTCCACAGAGGCAGTCTTTTTGCCCTGACCTGGGTAGCCCATGCTGGACTGATCTCATCAGATTTTGGAAGCTAAGCATGGTCAGCCCTGGTCACTACTTGGAGGGGAGGCCATCGAGGAAGTGGAGGGTTGCAACGCAGAAGCAGGCAACAGCAAGCCACCTCTGTTTGGTCTCTGTCTTGAAAAACCTACGGGGTGGCCGTGATTTGGCTGTGACTCGACAGTGCTTTCTGCCAGCCGCAACATTTAGGAGTCTCTCACCCACTCTGAGTGAATTGATTGCTCCCTGGATTGGATCTTGCTTTGAACTGGCCCTTTGTTAACACCCCGCCCCCGCCATTCTGCTATACACGTTGTACATCTGATGAAGCAAGCTTTGAGTCCTAGAGGCTTATGCCAGAATGAATTCTATTAGCCTTTAGGTGCTACTGGACTCTGTTTTCTTCTGTTACGGAGTACGGACTGAGATAGGTGCCCATCTGGAATTCTCACTTTACGGGGCTAAGATCTGTCATAAAGCAATAGTAATCCCCTCTATAATGGATTTTGTTTAAATTAACTCACAGGATGAATTGACTCCTAATTATCCTCTGGGGAAGTAACCTTGTAATAGCTGCTGAAGAAATTATCACCTTAGGGGATGGCTAAACTCTTCTTGAAACTAATTTTAACTTCTCGAATCTGAAATCAGAATTTTTAAAAAAAGACGTTGCTGTTCTTAACATCTGCAAAGAGCTTTTGTGGTTGGTTGGTTTTCCTTATATGGGGCTGCATTACTTTTTGGGAATTTGTTGTTATTTTGAGAAAGGAGAAAGGTCGGCTATTTGTATTTTAATTTGAAATAACTTCTTTACTATCTTTATGGGGCTGTAATACCTTTGCATAAAGGTTACCTTTGATTTTTAGGCCAGAAATATATTAATGTCTGGACCATGGGTTTGTGGGGGGGCATTTTCTGTTGCTACTTGCCCTTTTAAATTTAACAGAACCCCTGTTTCTGATTCTTCTCATAATTCAGATGCTTTTCCTATGAGGTTTTTGAACCACCTGAGATAAATTGTCTGTTGATCCAGCTGTAATCCAGTTTGAAGACGTTATGTGACCAGTTGGTGCCAGCATTCCCTAGTTGTGCACAGGAGTTCATAGTGTCGTGAGGACTGGCATGGCATAGTGGTTGGTATCTGGCTAGGACCTGGGAGAGCTGGGTTCGAATTCCTGTTCTGCCCTGGACGTTCGCTGGGTGATCCTAGGCCAGTCACGATTTCTCAGACTAGCCTGCCTTCATAAGGTGGTTCTTGCGAGATTGAAGTGGTCGAGGGAACAATGTGAAAAGCAGTTCTGAGTCCTGATCCGGGGAGAAAAGCGGGATATAAACAAACACAGAGGTGGAGCCGTGCAAGATGAGCTATTTTGATTGAATGGGTTACAAAAGGCAGTTTAAAAATGTTAGATATCCATGACACACTCGACACGGTGTCTCAGCTGACTGCATTTGAGACAGAAGATCTCAGGTTGCAATGGTGATTTGGAGAACAACATTTATTTACCAGCAGCCAAGGGTAGATCTCA